GGCTCCGTGGAAAGCCTGCGCCGCGCAATCCCACAGACGAGCTTTGAGAAGGCGGCCTTGCTGGGCGCCTCCCCCTGGTGCTGAGGGTCCATGATCGCGACCTCGCAGACCTTCTCGGCCACCTTTTGACCACGAGCTGCTTCGTGGCCCCTCTGCTTCATCGGGCTCTCGAGGACAAACATCTACCACGCAGAGTTGTCTCTCGTTTTTCCAACGGACACTTTGACATGAACCCCGCGCATACCCTGTCGACCAACTGATCCTGCGCAGAAGCCGAAGACTGCCTTGCGCCTTGCGGCTAACCCCATCAGCCTGCAGTTCAGGATCGACGGGACGTTGGCCCTGAGGCGCCCGCAGGGCTGGGCACCATCACTTGCGCTGCCGTGCGCCCGGACGCTGCCTTGACCCCCGCCTCCGCCGCCATCGTGTCACCATCGAGGGGGCTGCCTGGAGCCTCGCTTCGAGAGCTAGCCTGGCTCCAGGTCGCCCGGACAGCCGTGCCCCCGAGTTGCACCCTGCGGCGCGAGCTCGCACTCCTCGGCCTCGTCGTGCGCGCGCGTGCGCACGCGCGCGTATCTCGAAGACTCGGGCCGCCGCCTGGAGTCGGAGCCCGCCCCGTTCCTTGGCTCGTCGTGCGCGCGAGGGGGGGAAGTGAAGGGGGGCGGGCCTTCTCACGGGGCTCGGAGCCCCCTCGGCCTTCCGAGAAGTGTTCGGAGCCTTCCCCGAAGGCACCAAAAATCCGCCTTCTGAGAAAAGGCCCTCTCCTTCTCGTTTCCCCCCTCGCTCGCCACCGATGGGAGGCCGAGAGCTCCTGCGCGCGGCAGGCTTCCGAAGCCTGCATGGCCCCGCAGGCTGGAGGGCCTTCCCCGTCCGCGGCGGTGCTCGTGCCCGCCCGCTCGTCTTCGCTTCCCAGCCGTGACGCCTGGACATGGCCGAGGGGTCGTCGGGCTCGTCCTCCCCAATTACCTGCAGCCCGGCGCAGCCCACGTCCCTGCTGCCTTCACATCGGCGATGGGCGACACCGGGCGCCCCGGTTTCGACACTCTGTAGTCCGCGCCGCCCTTGCTCAGGCCGTCGACGGGCGTGGACACTGCCATCAGGCCCCCCGGTCTGTCGAGGTCGGAGGCGAGGACGTCTCCGGCATTCGCGCATACGCGCACACTGCCGACGCCTCGAACTTCTGCGTAGTCATGCCTTCGCAGGGAAGGTGCGAGGAGAGGAGGTGGAGAGGAAAAGGAGGATGAAGAGGTGAAGGGAATCGAGAGGAGGGAGGAGAGAGGAAGAGAACGGAGGAGAAACAGAGCAAGGGCAGATGGAGAAGAAAACAACGAGGGAATGTGAGCACGAGAAGGAGGAGGAGGAGTTCGACGACCTGGGTGTCGTAGGAGGAAGAGGAGGACAAGAAGGGGAGGAGAGGAACCATAACATTGGGAGAAGGATCCGGAGGACGAGGCGGAGGAGGATGCGCACAACGATTATAGGAGCAAGGCCGAAGCGCCCCCCTGAGAAGCGTTCGCCCAGGCCCAGCTGCCGGGCCAGGCCCCATTTGGCTCCAGATCCTAATCGAAGCACTTCCCTGCCTGAAGCAGCACGAAGTTAGGGGAACAAAAAGCGACATAAACATAACAACTCCGAGGTCCGCGCGGAGTGCTCGGATCGGCGCTGGACCCCCCTCCCTGGCGCGCGGAGCGCGCCAGGGGCGGCGCCTGAGGCGCCGCCGGGGGGCCCCAGCGCCGATCCGAGAAATCCGCGCGGGCCTCCGAGTTTTTATGTGTATGTCACTTTTTGTTCGCCTAGATGTGCAGGAGGAGGGGTATGAAGATAAGGACGAGTTGTAGGATGAGCAGTTTGAGGAGAACGACGAGGGATATGAGGTAGGAGGATGAAAGGGCGACGACGAAGGAGGCCGACAGGCAGGGAGGAGGGAGGAGGCTGTGAAGACTGAAGACTGCCTCAATCCGCGGGGGCGGATTGCTCGGGACAACGCCCGCTACCTGGCGCGCCAGGCCCGCGAGCGTCGCTCAGGCCTGAGAGGGCTCACAACGCGGGAGTGTTGCAAACCTAACCTAGATGATCAGCTTCCAAACCTTCTCGGCGCCGACGATCCTCGCGAGCTTGAGGAAGAGCTCAGCCCCGATGCCAACGTCGAAGAATTGGAGATCCTGGTGACCAGCCATTTCTTGAAGACGTCGATCTCGAACTGCTCGCAGTTGTCTGCCAGGACCTCTAGCAGCGGGGAGGAGAGGACCTCCGAGTACGCCTCGCGCACATCGTCGAACTCCCCGAGGTTGTCTGTCATCTGCGGGTCCACCATCTCGAGATTCTCGAAGCAGCTCTCGAAGTCCCTGAAGATGTCCGTGTTGTCTGAGAGAGGCTTACCACCGACTTCGCGAATGATCCCACCACTCTTGCCTTTCTTTTTCTTGTTCTTCTTGACCTCGTGGTCCCCGATGAAGAATTCCTCAACCACGTGGCTTCCTCCTACTTCGTGATGCGCTTTGCCATGGAGAACGTCGCCGTCAGCGTCCTCGTGTTGAACTCCAGCCCTGTGAAGCACATCGCCAGGATGAACGCGACACGGACGCACCCCCTCTCCACCTGGATGCGCACCGTCCTCATGTTGATCTCCAGCCTTGTGAAGCACGCCTCCAGGAAGAGCGTCGCCTTCAGAGCCGTCCTCCTGTAGCACTTCTGGGTGCCCCGCCTTGTGAAGCACATCGCCAGGAAGAGCGTCACCTTCCGTGGGAAATCAAACACACTGTGGAACAAAAAAACACACTGTGGGAAAAACACACGCACACTCAAAACACACACACACACACACACACTGTGTGTGTTTTTTGTGTGAGTGTGTGTGTGTGTTCTGTTTTTGTGTGTGTGTGTGTTTTGTTGTGTGTTTTTGTTCCCACAGTGTGTTGTTTCCCGCATCATCCTCTCGTGGCACTCCGCCTCCGTGAGGCTCCCCCTCCTGCCGAAAACCCCATCCTCGGGCAGCTCGGCCAGCGGAGCCTCCGTGGCCTCTCGCCGGTGTTCCCGGTAGGTTTGCCACCGCCGCCCCGCGCGTGGCGCGACCCCAGCGGTTCGGCGTTGTCTCTTTGCGGAGGCTTCCAGTCGCAAAGAAACCACAAAAACACAAAAAAACAGCAAACACAAACAAAACACAAAACAACAAACCACAACAACAAACAACAACACACAAAAAACAAGAAACGAAAAAGACATACAAAAAACATACAACAAACACAAACACACACAAAAACACACACTGTGAGTTTTTTTTGTGTTTTTTTTTCCCCACGTGTTTGTGTGTATGTGTGCGTGTGTGTGTGTGTGTGTGTGTTTTGTTTTTTCCCCCCACACACTCGTCGTCATGGTCCTCCGTGTTGCTCTCCTTCGGCGTGGGAAGCTGCTCCGAGTCCTGGTTGACCTCCAGCTTCTCCTGGCCAGCCTCGGGAGTCTTCGGCAACTCCTGTAATTACTGGAGCCGGTTTGGCGATCTTGTCCTCTGTGAAGTCGTCCTTCTGGGAGTCGGGCTTCTCCGTCTGCTGCCACTCCCCCAGCTCCGTGAGCGCCCAGCCTACCCTCGCCCATGAAGCAAGCCACCTTGCTCTCGCCGACGGGATTGGCCGTGCCCGTGGCGGTGAGGTCAGAGCTCTCAACGCTGCCACCGCCGCCTTGAAGGAGGAGAACTTGACCGTGTTCTCCCGCACGGGCTGCGGATTGGTCTCGACCGACTCCTTGACCTTGTCCGTGTAGTTCTTGCGGTTGGACGCCTTCAGCACGAAGGAGTCCGATTTCTTGTCTATCTTCCCGTAGCCCAGGCCGAGCGAGGCCAAGATGTTGGCCGACAGCGCTCGGTGGTAGTTGTTGACCAACTCCCGCGTGGTGAAGCCGTACCCCAACGACCTCGCCTGTCCCTCTCGAAGGCGCGCTCTCTGGGACACCGCGTCCTCGTACGGCGAGGCTGGCATCGACACCTTGGAGCGTGCCATACTTGTCCTGGCAGATGACGATGCTCCAGTTGGACGCGCCGATGTGCGCGTCGGCGCCGGTGATGAGGCGGCCGAGCACATCGCCCGACTGCTTCGGGCCGGACGAAATGGGGGGATTGGGAAAGGGGGGGTTACGAAGTTTGCTGCATGCAGTTGGTTTCGGCCTCACCGAGGGGCCCGTTCCTCGATACATAGCCGCCTCCGGCGCCGGGAGGCGCCGGGAAGATCAGTTACGTGAGCTGATTCTCAAACCCCCCCCTTTGCTATCACCCCCTTTCGCCCGACCCGACTGCTGCACGGGCGCCAGCTCGTGGCCGGTGTGGATGGCCGCCTCGCGGTCAGGCACCGGGCCGCCCTTCGCGCAGCCGTGGTTCGGGGCGTCTGCGCCCCCTTCAACGTGCGCCGCCCCAGGGCCTCCTAGGCCGAAAGGGGCTGGAGGAGGGAGGAGGACGGGGCACACGGGATGGAGGACAGTAGATGGACAATAGATTCGAACCCTTCTACGTTCGAGGTAGATTCTAAATCACCCCCGCGCCTCCGACATCAATGTTGATCTCAGTAAAGGCTGTGCTTTGGGGTTCGAATATTTCTGTCCACTCACGCCCCCCCCCCCCCCCCGTCGCCGCGCCATCAATATTGATTTCGGGGTGTCTGGGGGGCATCTTAGGCCACAGTGTTCGAATGTAATGTCCATGTACGAGAGGACAGTGAGGGAAGCAGCTGCAGCAGCAGCAGCAGCAGCGGGTGCAGGAGGGTGAGCATGAGGACGAGGGCAGCAGCAACGGCAAACGGAATATGATCATGAAGAAAAGGATGAGGAGGAGGAGGAGCACTAGTCTGAGGAGGAGGAGGAGGAGGAGGAGGATTAGGATTAGGAGGATTAGGAGGAGGAGGATTCGGAGGAGGAGGAGGAGGAGGAGGACTAGGATTTGGAGGAGGAGGAGGATGTGCAGCAGCACAAGCAGAAGATTGGTGGTGACCCGAAGTCTGGGAGCTCCCCAAAGGAAGACGGAGTCCGCTGTGCCATCTGGGACAACTCGCAGGGAGCTTGGTCGTCCGCGGGCGTCGAGGAGGTCATCCACGACGGTTCGGTATTGATGTGCAGAACAAACTACACAGGTGTATTCACTGCCTTGTACGTCGAAACGATGACGACCACGGCCTCGCCGAACGACACGGAGGACGACGATCGGAATGGGACGCTGTGCGAGCACACGCTAGTTCTGACTGGGGATGCTCTTCGGCACGCCGTGCAGGATGGCGAGTGGCCATTTGGCTTGCCCGGTCTGCTCTTTCTGGTGCTGCTTCTGGTGACGCTTGCCTCGCTGGTGCTGGCGTGCCGCGTGGATGCACGGTGGGCCCGACGGCACCGGGCGGACAGCAAGCAGCTCCTCGTCGGCCGCGGGGCCGCGGGCGACAGACACCCCGGCGGCATGGCCTGCCTCTGCGAGCAGCTCGCGGGCCTCGCCGACCCGGCCTGGGCATCCTACAGCCTGACCTACCACGCGCTCGCTTACCAGGAGCAGGTGGCGGTGGGGACCGTGCGCGCCATCGCCGAGCGCTCGCGTCGGCGCGCGGACTGCTCGGGCGCCTCGGCGACGACCCCGATCTGCAGCGTGGCCGCATGGGTGGCCGTCGACCATCTCGCCGAGGGCGGAGAGACGCCGCTGATCACCTCCAAGAGGGCGGTGTCGGTGTGCGACGCCTTCTGGTGCTCGAGCCTCTGCCAGAGACTGTGGGTCGTGTTCCTTGCCTTGAATCCACTGCTCCGCTGGCGACGCTACAGCGTGTTCGTCCAGAGCCAGACTCGCCTGCTTGTTGTGGCAGGCGAGGTTTTCGGCTCGCTGGTCGCGATCGTGCTCTGCCTGGGTGACGAGTGCGAGTCGAGCGTTCATCTTCAGGAGGACATCGGGGTGGGCGTGCTGTGCGCGGTACTCTCCGTGCTCGCGTTGGGGCCAATCCAGCTCGTGCTTCTATTTTGCAGGCCTGCGCGTTGGCAGCCCAGAGAGCCAGGCTCTGAAGAGTTGCATTCAAATTGTTCTGCTTGCTCGAGGCCCCTGGAAGCCGCGATTAAGCTTGTGCTGATATTTTACTTGTTTTGTTGTGCCCTGTACGTTCTGATTTTCGTCGCCAATGCTTCGCTGACTATCCGGTCGCGCGTTGCCATTTCGGGCGCCAGTGGTGTGTTCGGAATATTCGGATTATTCCCATGGATCAAAGCCGTACTGTTATTGTTAGCGGCTGCGCTACACCAGCATAGATATCATGGCGCGTTGGATAAAGTCAGAGGGCGACTGCAGAGGTTCAACGAGTCCGACACAGACGAGTGGACGTCTGTGGCTGTGGCGCCATCCTCAGTGAGACCTGTGGAGCCAGCAGGAGGAGGAACTCGGGGCCAGCTTGGCGACGAGGTTACCGTTGAGTCGGAAGAATTGCCGGAGGAGGAGCTGCACGATCGGTTGGAAGCGGCGGCTGCCCATGCCAGGAACGCAAGCGCCGCGCTGCGTGCCACAGCAGGCGCAGGCTTGTACGCCAAGGCCACATCGGCACAGGTCTCCGGCCAGTGCTCGCCGGGCCAGATCGAGCGCTTCATGGCCGTCGTCGAGCGGCAGTGGGGCCTGAAGGACAGGACCTTGGCGCAGGAGCTCTGCGAGAACCTGCGGCAGCCGAAGGGCGGCCGCGCCCCGGGCCTGCCCGCGGAAGCGGAGCTCGCGGGGGCATTCGCAGGCCTGCCTGCGGACGTGGCCTTCTTGAGTCCCAGGGCGCTCGCGGAGGTGTGCCGCTGCGTGCAGGAGAAGTACGGCAGCAGGCCGCTGAACGCGGAGCTGCAGGTCGGCACGAACGAAATGGGTACGGAAAGAATGGGTACAATGCCCAACAGCAGTTCCTGCCCATTTGAGACAGAAGGCCGCCTGCCCAACATCGGCCGCTGTTGGTTTGGGACAGCATTTGTTGGTTGGCATTGTACCCATGTTTTCCGCGCCCAGTTCGGGCGTCCAAAGCAGGGGCACCTGCTGTCGATATGCTGCTGGGTGGTGTACACCATGCAGGACGTCGACATCGACAGGCTGTTCGGCTTCCCCGACTGTCCGGTCCTCCCCCCCGGCATGGAGGAGCCTACGCTGCGGGACGCCGTGTACAGCGAGTACCGTGCCCGCTGCAAAGGGGGCCGGTGCCCGCAGATGTTCTCCGCAGCGAACTGGGCGGCCCGCGTCTGTTTCGACAGGGGCGGGGACGTCAGCACGGCGGCTGGCAGAAGCGCGCTCGCAGGAGTGCAGACGTGGGTCAAGTGGCTGTGCTTTCTCGCAGCCTCTGCCAGGGACCTCGAGGAGCCAGTCACTGTCACCAGGGGCCTGTGCGGGCTCCCCGAGCAGCTGGTAGACGATTCATTGGCTTACGCCGCGCCGCCGACCCTTTGGAGCCCTGGACGCCGCTCGCTTGGGGTGGGGGGGGTGCTCGAAAGGAACCCTGTTGGTTCGTTTGGGAGCCCTCTTGGGGGCCTCTTGGGACTCTCTTCGGGGCATGCTGCCAGTCTTGGGGGCCATCTTGTGGGGGGGCTTCCTTGGGTTCATCCTGGGGCCCTCAGGGGGTCTCCTGGGCAACCTTGGGGACCTCTTGGGCCATCTTGGAGCCCTCATAGGCTGCTTGCCCTCTTGGGGGCCTCTTAGGGGGGCCTCTTGGTCCGTGTTGGGGCGATCTTTTGGGGCTTTTGGTTTCTCTTACGAAGGCACCCTGAAGATGTCGAAAAGCCGTTGGGAAATCACCGACGTGTACCTCTTGAGTGCTCTCGAGGGTCCTCTTGGAGCCCGCTTGGAGCGCCTTGGGGGCTTCTCGGGCCGTGTTGAAGCCATCTTGGGCTGTCTTGGGGCCCCCATTGAGCCATCTCGGAGCCCGCATGGACCTTCCTGGATCCATCCGGGGCACTTGTGGTGCGTCTGGAGGCGCTTCAGGAGCAGATGAGTCCTTCCAGGGGCCGACGGACCCACCCCCCTCCAAATTGGCGGCCGGGCTCCCAGCAGGGGGGCTTGGGGAGGGGCAGCCATCTCACACGCTTGGTGGCCCGAAGGAGTCGGCGAACTTTCGGCGTAAGCAGGCGGGGGATTGTATTTTCTGGGCGGCCCCGTCCAGCACCACAGACGACGCCAGAATCTCTGACAGCTACTGCAACCAGCAGGAGCCGAGGGATCGCAACGTGCTCTTCACCATCTCCGGCGTGACGCAGGCCTTCCCCATGTTCGAGCTGAGCCAGTATCCCGGTGAGCGCGAGTGGCTTCTGCCTCCGTTCTGCAGTCTCCGGGTGGATCGGGTGGTCGATGGCGCCCCGGTGCGTGTGGAGTGCACGTTTCGTGGATGCCTGCTGCCAGGCCCGCTGCGCGAGCAGGTCGTGCGCGACTTCAAGCAGGCCTCCCGAGATCTGGGCGGCGTGTTGGCCGCGCTGGGGGACGAGCTGAGCGCCTTGAGAGCCAAGCTGAGTCGGGCAGTGCGCAGGAGGCCTCCGGGGCAACGTCACGGGGGGGTCCGGCTTCGGGGGGAGCATCGGCTCCCGATCGCCCCTTCGCCGCCGATGGGGGCCCGATACAGTCGGGGCGCTGAAGAAGGAACCCTTTTCGTTGGGGAGGGGCTCGGTGTCCCTTGATTGTTTCACAGCTTGCCTCGGGTTTTCCTTATGTTTCCGATGGGAAATCGAAGTTGAACTTGTGGAACAAAAGGGGCCTCGTTCCTTATTCAGGATTCCTTAGGGCATCGCCCCGACTGTATATAGCCCACCCCGCTCAGGAAGGGTGGGCCTCGCTGCCGGGGGTACACAGTCAACCCGCACAGGGGAGGAGCGGGTGTTCCAAGCTTGCCCTCGCATCCTTGCCCCTTGAGCTCGCCCTTACGGTAGGTTCGTGTCGTGTCGACCGGCAGCGACCCCGCCATTGGCGCTCAATTTTGAACGCCGCGGGCGACCCAGAATCGTTCGTTGTGGAACGATTTGGACGTTTCGGAAGCGACCGTCGTTCAAGGTTGAACGATCCCCGTGGTGTCAGAAACCAACGCCGAAGTCGGCACGACACAAACCTGACGTAGCAACTTTCGCTGGCCAGCCCCACTCGACAAACGTCAACGTGGCTTTCCAAGGCCCCTGCACCCTCACCGCGCACCCTGCTGCTACGGCTGGACCGTGCCCCGATCCATCGGCGATGCATCGCCGGTCTCACAGGTCAGTGCCCCCCCTTGGGGAAGCGAAGCTGTGGATGAAAAGCCGCGCGCCCCGCCGCCACGTGGGGCGGCACAGGCTTCTGCTTCGGGGGGGTGGGGGCGCTCTCCCCGCGCGCCCCGCGATTGCGAGTCGTTTTTCGACCGTCCCTCCTCCTCCTCCTCCTCCTCCTCCTCCTCCTCCTCCTCCTCCTCCTCCTGCTCCTCGACAATTACACAAAATGAATACACTCTCCTCCATCCCCTGATGGCGTGCGGAACATAGCGGGCACCCCTCCGAGGTTCATTTTTTACACACAGGATTTCCCGGAGTTGAGTTTTCGCTTGTTTTTTTCAAAATGATGCTCTCGCTGAGGCGCGGGCTTCATTTTCGGGCTTCCGGGGGCTTCCGCTCGTTCCGAATCGTGTTCCCGCTGCAGCGCTGGCCTCATTTCCGTGCTTCCGCTCGTTCCGAATCGTGCTCCCGCTGCAGCGCTGGCCTCATTTCCGCGCTTCCGCTCATTCCGAATCGTGCTCCCGCTGCAGCGTTGGCGTCATTTCCCGTGCCATGCCACGGCATGCAATGCAATGCTAGGTTGCGTTCCGCTGCGCGATGCCATGCCTTCAGCTGCAGCTGTCATATCCAGTGCGTAAGTGCCACGTCATGCTATGCCATGCTACGCTTTGATCTTCAACGCCATGCTATGTTCGGGCCGCTGTGCGATGCCATGCTTTGCGTTGCAAAGCTTTGTGATGCAATTCTTCACTACGCTACGCCACGCCATGCTGTGACATACTACGCTTTGCGGTGCTCTTCTACGCCATGCCATGCCGTGCTCTACAATGCATCGCGTACCCTCTCGGGATCATTGCCCTCAACATCCGAATGTGCGAGTAGAGAGGGGATCTACGCCATGGTAAGGGATGGGAGGGAGGGGTAGGATGTCAGATATGACGCCAGCGCACCTAGCTTGTCCTCCTCCTCCTCCGCCTCCTCCTTCCTCCTCCTCCTCCTCCTCCTCCTCCTCCCTCTCCTCCTTCTCCTCCTCCTCCTCCCTCCTCCTCCTCCTCCTCTTCCTCCTCCTCCTCCTCCTCCTCCTCCTCCTCCTCCTCCTCCCTCCTCCTGGGCCTGGAGCCCGCGCGCCGGGTCCAGGGACCCCTGCGTCTGGGCACCTGCGCTTCGCGGCGCGACGCGCCGCCCTCTCGCCCCCGGATTCCCCAAACCGCCACCGCCCCCCGAGCTGCTCCCTCCGCCCCCCGCCCCGCGGAGCGGAGCGACGCGCTGCCCGCTCGCAGGGCACGCGGCGTGTCGCGAGGGCCGCCGCGGCGGCCCTCGCGGAGCGAGCGCGCGCGACCGCGAGCCGTGCCGGCGTGTGCCCCGCTCGAGGCCGCTGGCGCCCGTGGCCGCCCTGAGCGACCCCGCCCCGGAGGCCCCCGGCTGGCTCCAGCGGGCGCTGCTGGAGGCCCGTCGGGCGCGCGAGGAGCTGCAGGGCGGCCTCGACGCGGCCACGGCCCGGGCGAGCGGCAGGACTCCACGGCCAGAGTGTCTACGTCCGCACCCTTCGCTTCGGAGTTTCGCCCTGGGATCTCGGAGGAGCGGTGGCTGGCGTGTGTGCGTCGACACCTGTTGCACCTTTTCGTCCCGCGCAGTTGTACCTGCACTGCATTGCTCCTCCCCCCTTCCCTCCGACCTGAATCTTGGGCGCACGGCGAAGAGCCTTGGGCCCCTTTCACGGGCTCCCGACAAATTAAGATCGGGGGGAGAGGGGTGGAAGACGAACGCCAGCCTAAAACAAAACGATGCGCGTCGTTATTATGCGCGCCAGGTGATCAGTGTGCCGACGTGCTATGGGCTATGGGCACGGCAGGGAACTTTGGCTCAGCGTGTCGCGCCGCCAGTTCTGGCCCATCACGTCTCGGGGCGACATGCTATACACGTCACGTCCCCCTTCCCAGACGTGTCAACCTCCCGAGCTGTTCCCAGCCCACCTCCCGCCCCGCGGAGTGGAGCGACACGCTGTCCGCTCGCAGGGCACAGCGTGTCGCCAGGGCCGCCGCAGCGACACGCTGTGCAACAGCTCCTGACCGTACCTGCCCGCCCCGCACGGGCGGGCAGGTACCTACCTCCACCGCTCCCCGAGCCCCGGGGACTCGACCCCGCGGCAGTGTGGACGTCCTCTGGCGTCGCGAGGGCGGCCAGCCTCGCGAGCGCCGCCGGCGCGGGCATGAGCGCGAAGAGCTCGGCGGCCGAGGTGTCAGGGCAGAGCTCGGTGCAGCAGGCTGCCTGGGGGCCCCCGAAGCCAGGACTCTGCAGGCCAGGGCCGTGCCACACAGCTCGGGCTGGAGTAGGGGGTGCCAACGACATGCTGCCTGTTTCCTGTTCGTCCTTGGGTTCTCCCTCCTTCTCCAATCGCCGTGCTCCCTCCTTCTGCCAGCACCGAGCGGCACGCGATCCACGCCCCCGTTCCCAGGTGTCAGCGCCCCGAGCTTCTCCGAGCCTCCTACTGAGCGGGGGGGTATCAACGCGGAAACTGGAGCATATACAATGCCAGTGGCGGTTTTCCAATCCGAGGACTTTCGGAGGGTCGGGGACGACGTCGGGGTGGTGTGGTGTATGCTTCTCGTCCCCGCCTTCCCGGGGAGGCAGCGAGCAATGTGTCAGATGCCCGTATACACCAGGAGCCGTTTTTTCCAGTGCAAGCGTGAATTCGGGCCTGTCCCTCTACAGGGGAAATATTCAGAAATAGTCAAAAAATAGTCTGGGGACGGTTGTTTTTACCATGTTTGACCATTTGGGGAGCATTTCTGGGGTATGCTCGATGTTTCGCCCAAAAACCCCCTTGTAGGGGGGGACAGGACCTGGTGTAAGCGTGTCAGCGCAGGGCCGATCGAAAAAACGCGTGGGGGTACATGGAGCTCGCTGCCCTATCCCGGGCGCGCCGCCGTTGGGAGAGCCCGTCCCCGCTGGCTGCTCCCCCGCCTCTGCCCGAAGACCCGGCGCTTTTCGTCCCAGACATCCCTCCGACGGCCGGGGGCCCGAAACGCCCCTTGAGGTCGGGGAAGACTGGCCGCTACGATGACTGTGCGGCGCCGCGACCCCTCGGCGAGGAGGAGGAGGAGGAGAAGGAGGAGGAGGATAATCGAGGAGGAGGAGAAGGAGGAGGAGGATGATCATCGAGGAGGAGGAGGAGGAGGAGGAGGAGGAGGAGGAGGAGAGGAGAATCGAGGAGGAGGGAGGAGAGGAGGAGGAGGAGGAGGAGGAGGAGGAGGAGGAGGATAATCGAGGAGGAGGAGGAGAGGAGGAGGAGGAGGAGGAGGAGGAGGAAGAGGAGGGCAGTTTGTCCTCCGCGCTGGCGCGCCGGGGGGGCTCCAGGCGGCGGCGCCTCGCCGAGGCTGCGCGCCTGCTCCACCAAGATCCACCACGGGGGGGGGCGGGCGAGGGGAGGGGGGGGGGCTGCTGCAGCACATCCTCCCCCCCGGGGGGGAGGAGGAGGAGGAGGAGAGGAGGAGGAGGAGGAGGAGGAGGAGGAGGAGGATATCGAGGAGGAGGAGGAGGAGGAGGAGGAGGAGGATAATCGAGGAGGAGGAGGAGGAGGCGGGGGGGCGAGGGGAGGGGGGGGGCGAGGGGAGGGGGGAGGGCTGCTGCAGCACATCCTCCGGGGGGGGGGGAACACACAGGCACAATCCATCGTGGATTCCCCGGAGAGCATGGGAATGATTATATGGGAAGCGTGGGGGGAGACAAACAAGCACCCAGAAGATGTGGGAAGATATGGGGAATCCTGTTATTTGTGTCTATTTGTTTGTGTGTCCCAGGGCCCCTTCAGAGGGGAGGGGGGCTTCTGTAGCAAACCCTCCAGGGGGGGGGGAAATCAACCCGGACCCCAGAATTGACGTTCACTGAACGGCCCATGGGCGTTTCTTATACAGTCCTGGCCTGTACGATTTCCTCCTCTGGGTGCGTTTACGAAACGGCTTCGCGTGTCGGGGTGATTATATTATGAGGGTGGATAATATGATTTCTACTCATTGGAGCCTGGTATAGCCTCGTAATTCCGTCTTCAGCATCGACTCGCATTGATTAGCGTTTGGGAGTCGATGGGATGGCGCCGGTTTAGCGTCGGCTAGCGTCGATTAGCGTCGACTTAGCGTCGATCAGCGTCGATTTAGCGTCGACTAGGGTCGATTCGCAAGAGCCGACAAGATGGTATAGGATGCTCCCACGAGTTGCCACCGGCGAATGTCTCGGCCCCCGTCCGCAGTTTTCTCTTCTCGGATGCGCCCACGTCCTGTTTGTGTATTGCGGAGATCCGCTCGTCTACTCGGCTCCGACAGGTGGAGGTCTTCATGGCGCTTGTCGAGCAGCAGTGGTCCCAGAAGGAGCGAACGTTGCTGCAGGAGCTGTGCGCCAATTTGCGGCAGCCGAAAGGTGCACTGAGCATCCATTACGGACAGACAGGAGGCATGGGCGAAGCTCCTGTGGAAGCAGAAGCGCTAACGCTCAGGACGCTCGCAGAGGTGTGCTCTTGTGCACAGGAGAAGTACGGCAGCAAGCCGCTGAACGCAGAGCTTCAGGTGCACCTGTTGTCGATCTGCTGCTGGGTGGTGTACACCATGCAGGACGTCGACATCGACAGGCTGTTCGGCTTCCCCGACTGTCCAGTCCTCCCCCCCGGCATGGAGGAACCTGCGCTGCGGGACGCCGTGTACAACGAGTACCGTGCCCGCATCAAAGGCGGCCGGTGCCCGCAGATGTTCTCCGCGGCCAACTGGGCGGCCCGCGTCTGTTTCGACAAGGGCGGAGACGTCAGCACGGAGGCTGGCAGGGACGCGCTCGCAGGAGTGCAGACGTGGGTCAAGTGGCTGTGCTTTCTCGGAGCCTCGGCCAGGGATCTCGAGGAGCCAGTCACGGTCACCAGGGGCCTGTGCGGGCTCCCCGAGCAGCTGGTGGACGATTTCCGGTGCACGCGGGCGGGGGACTGCATCTTCTGGGCGGCCCCGTCCAGCACCACGGACGACGCCAGGATCTCTGACAGCTACTGCAACCAGCAGGAGCCGAAGGAGCGCAACGTGCTCTTCACCATCTCTGGCGTGACGCGGGCCTTTCCCATGTTCGAGCTGAGCCAGTATCCTGATGAGCGCGAGTGGCTCCTGCCACCGTTCTGCAATCTCCGGGTGGATCGGGTGGTCGATGGCGCCCCTGTGCAGGTCGAGTGCACGTTCGTGGGCTGCATGATGTCAGGCCCCCTGTGCGAGAAGGTCGTGCGCGACTTCAAGCAGGCTTCCCGGGACCTGGGCAGAGTGCTGTCCACCATGGAGGAGGATCGAAGAAGGAAATAACGGCAGAAACATAAACTTTCGACGCTCCACGCGGATTTCTTGGATCGGCGTTGGGCCCCCTGGCGGCGTCTCTGGCGCCGCCCCTGGCGCGCGGGGTCCAGCGCAGATACAAGAAATCCGCGCGGAGCGCCAAACTTTTATGTTTATGGCCCGTAAAAACGCGAACGGCGAGTAGGTAACGCCGATGTAGGTTTCGGTATTGTGGGGGAACCTGTGGCTCGAGCCTTCTACAATTCGCTGTGCCGTTTTTCGTCCGATACGTTCGCATATGGGAGATGTAGAATCGTGTGGTTCGTGATTTCCTACAAGTTAGTTCCCAACACCACCGTTCAGCAACATCGCCGTTACCGGCGCCTCGGATGGCATTGTTCTTCCTCTCTCCAAGAGGAGCTCAGCGCCCAGAAGAAGCAGCTCGAGCAAACGAGGCGCAGGGGCCTCGTCTGCACGCGGGCGGTCTTCCGCGCAGGCCCCACGTCGGGCATATCCCCCCAACAGGAGGAAATGTTCAAACACATAGTAACAACATTGTCGGGGGGCGACTCTTCGATCACTTGCTGAATCTATGTTTGAATACTTTTTGACTCGTTTAGATCGTTCGTGCAAAACCAAGCGGGGGGAGGAGGAGGAGGAGGAGGAGGAGGAGGGAGGAGGAGCTGGAGGAGGAGAAGGGGGAGGAGGAGGGGGAGGAGAGGGGGAAGGAGGGGGGAGGAGGAGGAGGAGGAGGAGGAGGAGAGGAGGAGGAGGAGGAGGAGGAGGAGGAGGAGGAGCACGTGCCCGACCCGAGCGCAGGCCTCCTCCTCCTGGCGCGGCGCCCCCCCGGGGGCGGCGCCTCGCCCCTGGAGCACCTCCTGCGCGACTTCCGCGCCCGCGCGCGGCCGCCACCGCGCGGGGCGCCCCCGCGGCCCTCGGCGCTGCCGCAGGCAGGCAGAGAGGGGGGAGGAGGAGGAGGGAGCAGGGAGGAGGAGGAGGAGGAGGAGGAGGAGGAGGAGGAGGAGGAGGAGGAGGAGGGGGAGGTGGAGGAGGAGGAGGAGGAGGAGGAGGAGGTGGAGGAGGAGGAGGAGGAGGAGAGCAGGAGCAGGAGGAGGGGGAGGTGGAGGAGGAGGCAGGGGCGGAGCGAACAAAATCACGACGGGGGGGTTCGCATTCCTTTCTGCCTCCAGGATTAGTCGGGCCTGTCCCCCTACAGGGGGGCTTTTGGCGAAACGTTAGAAATACCCAAAAGATTACCCAAAATGGCCCAACAATATTTTAAAAGATCGACCCCCGACTATTTTTGTCTATTTTTGAATATTCCCCCTGTAGAGGGACAGGCCCGACTTAACTCCAAGGGCCTATTACCGTGCCCCGGGACCGTCAAGAAGCGACCCAGGATGAGCCGGTCCCGGGGAAGGGGTCCGACGTTGTGAACTAAGCACGACGTCGGGGGTCTAGGTCGGGGGTCTGGTCGCCGCTCGTGGAGCACGGGAGCACGGGGATTCTTTTCGTCAAGCAGTGGCGGAGCGTCCTGGCTTGCCTTTATAGGCCGACCGAAGAATGCTCTAAGGACCTTATGTGGTCTGCGCGGCATGTTCTCAGAACAGGGCCTCGCTGAGACTGTGTCTTGTTTGAGCACCTCGGGCTTCTGTTCTAAGACTTGTTCTCGTGATCAGAGCATCTGTAGCTTCTGAGAGCACGTCGTGGTAGGCCTACAGGAAAGCCGGGACGGTCGGTCCCTGCTCAAAGTCGACTAGGCGTAAGAGTGACCTTTCGCCGGGGTGACCTTTGGTGCGGGCCCAACGGGGTCCCCCGATCGCCGAGCGCGAGGCGGCCGTGGCGTCGTGCGCGCTCGTGTCTGGCCCCCCCGCGGCCCGCAGAACGCCGCGCACCAAAGGTCACTCTTACCCAGGGTCACTCCTGCGAGTAGTCGACGAAGGCAGCGGCCACGGCTCGGGCCGGGGGCGTGGCGGCGAGCCTGGAGAGCGCCGTGGGCGCGAGCCTGGGCGCCAAGAGCTCCGCGGCCGAGGTGCCTGGCCTTCTTCTCCGAAGCGCCCGCCTCCTCCGTCGGCGCGTCCGCCCCTGGAGCGCTCCGGAACTTAGTTGTCTCGATACGCCCGTATTGACACGCAACACGTCACGTGTTCAAGACGTCCGTGTCGATACGTTGCGTGTTGGCTCCACGTATTGGCCCACGTTTTGGCAAACGCATCGCGTCGGACCTACGTTTCCAGTCCACGTGTTGAGCTCCGCATCAATACGCCACTTGCTGCGTGTTGCGTATCGGGGCAGCTCCGCTCCGCGGGCCTGGCTCTGGGCAGCCTGCGGGGACCCACCTGCCCTCGAGGCGCCCCTGTGGATGCGCGCCCACATCCCCAGGCCCCCGACGTCGCGATTTTTCCGCAACGCCGACCCCGTAGGAGGGCTCGACCCATCCCGGCGTTGCGTCCCGAGTTGTTTTGTTCACGGTCCCGACGCCCGGTAAGAGGAGGAGGAGAAGGAGGAGGAGATGGAGGAGGAGGAGGAGGAGGAGGGGAGGAGGAGGAGGGGGAGAAGCAGGAGGAGGAGGAGGAGGAGGAGAAGACAGTAGAAGGGGAGGTAGGAGGAGGAGGAGGAGGAGGAGGAACACCCCAGAGGCCGAACACAGCCAAAGGTCGTGTGACTTCTTCGCAGCGCGAGGGGCTCTGTGCAGGTACACAGCCTCGAGGGCCGGTCTCCCCTGGGCGGCGGACACCCGCGGAAGTTTGGGGCGGGTGTCCCTCGCGGCCTCCCGCCCCCGGCGTGCCGCTGCGGCCTCGTGCATGGGCACGGGGCCGCGCCCCTGCTGGGGGTGCGGACCGCGAGGGCGCGGACGTGGACATTTCGGGGCGTCGTGGAGTCGGGGGCGGAAAAGAGGGGGGTGATGACTAGGGGGGGGTGGATATCATGGCGCGGGCCATGACATATCCGCAGATTTCGTGGCGCCTCTTCTTGTTTCATTGCGTCCCTGGCCCCCCCCCCTGGGCCGCGCACATGCCGCCGGCCATGATTTGCACCCCCCCCCCTCTTGGACACCACCCTCTTGGCTGCTCCCGATAGAGGGGGAGTTATCCCAAGGTGGGGGTGGGGAGCGGGCCCAGCTGGATGCTCCCGTTTCGCGCGTTTCCTTCTTCCAGGGGCCGCTCGGAGCGACTTTCAGTCCAACCCCGCTTTTGCCCCAACCCCACCTGTTGTGCGTCCCCGAGACACGGGTCGGGACGATCGAAATGGGTGCGGAGAGAATGGGCACGACACCTAGCAGTAGTTCTTGTAAGTTCTTGTTCATTTTGACTAGGACTCGCTGTCCGCGCCGCAGAAGGGCACGAGACTAACAGCAGTTCTGGTTCATTCTGAACAGGACTCGCTGTCCGCGCCGCCGCGGGGTACGGAAAGAAGTGGTACGATGCCTAACAGCAGTTCTGGTTCATTTTGAACAGGACTCGCTGTACGCGCCGCCGCGGGCGTTTTTCTTTGAACACGAGAAGCCGCCTGCCCGACAGCGGCCGCGGTCGGTTTTGGACAACATTTTGTTGCTGGGCAGTGTACCCGTTTTTTCCGTACCCATTTCGTGCGTCTAATACGCGGAGTTGTTCGCCGCAAGTTCGGGGAGTTGGTTGGCCCAAAAGGGAGTCCAGCGAAAGGAGGGTGGTGCAATATATTTTGTGCAGAATATTTGTAGGGTTGCAATAGTTTTGGGGCGTGCAGCACATTGCGGTGCGCAAGTGTAGTGCTGGTTGTTTTCGCGTGCAGTGCGTCAGTTGCAGTGTACTGCTAAATAGCTCTCTGGCGCAAGAGCCATTTGCGATCGAATCGCCCCAAACCTCTTGCACCACCCCCTTCAAGCTGGACCCCCTTTGGGTCAACCAAAACTCTCTGGCGCAAAATCCATTTGCGATCGACTCGCCCCAAACCTCCTGCACCACCCCCTTTTCAGCTGGACCCCCTCTGGGTCAACCAAAACTCCCTGGCGCAGAATCCATCTGCGATCGACTTGCCCCAAACCTCTTGCACCACCCCCTTTCAGCTGGACCCCCTCTGGGTCAACCAAAACTCCCTGGCGCAAGATCCATCTGCGATCGACTTGCCCCAAACCTCTTGCACCACCCCCTTTCAGCTGGACCTCCCTCTGGGTCGACCAAAACTCCCTGGCGCAAGATCCATCTGCGATCGACTCGCCCCAAAGCTCCTGCACCACCCCCTTTCAGCTGGACCCCCTTTGGGTCGACCAAAACTCCCTGGCGCCAAATCCATCTGCGATCGACTCGCCCCAAACCTCCTGCACCACCCTCACTTCGGCTCTATATCATCTTGCAGCGCGCAGAGCGCTTAGCACCGAGGCCACATCCCATCGTAGCAGAGTGGTGGGCCGCGCATGACAGCAAAAACCGTCCACGCCTTGAGTCAGTTAATGGAGGATGACGATTAATAAATGACCGGGGGTCGTGTTCACGCGGCGGCGCCCGGGATGACGATTAGAAAAAACCGGCCGCGGGCTGGAACACTTTTTTTTTGACGTTCTCCTCCAGTCAGAAACTTGTGCAGAAACAGCAGGAAACTGTTTTTTAATCGTTCCCCCCCCCCCCATTTTTTTCATCAATCGTCATCCCGCACTACTGCACCTCATTCCTTGTTACCCCCCCTTTCAGCTGCACCCCCCCCTGCGTCGACCCACCGGGGAGCCGGCCGCCGCTCGTGGCGCACACGCGGGCGTCCCTTCTCGGGCCCGGCTCGGCGTCCGCGCCTGGGGGTCGGCGCGCCCACGTCTTGCCTTATGTCGGGCGTGTCCCCCTACAGGGGGATTGTCGACGAAAAGTAAAAAATATCCAAACAGATTCAGAAGATAATCTAAAGATAGTCTGGGGGCTATTTTTAGAGTATGTTTTAAAGCTTTTTGGGGTAGTTTTTCGGGTATCTTCAATTTGTCGTCGAAAATCCCCCTGTATGGGGGACAGGCCCGACCTAACTCTTGCCCTCCCCCCGCCAGCCGAGCCGGCTCGGCCCTGGGTTGTAACCTCCGCCAGGGCTGCGGCGCGGGTCTCCGACGCCCCGGGGGCCTGCCGAGCCGAGCAGTGACGAAGCCTCCCGGCGTGCCCATGGCGTGCCCATAGCCCTGTCAAACAATGTCCTAAGAGCCTGCTATGGTTCCCACGGGATGTTCTTGGAGCATGTCTGGCGGGGACTGTCCTGTTTTATCACGTCGGGCTTGTGTTCTAAGAGCACGGCTCTGGTTCTTAGAGCACCTTCGGGTTCTGAGGACATTTCGTGGTAGGACTACAGGAATGCCGGGGCGGTCGGTCCCTGCTCAACCGAGGCCAAAGGGCCAGAGGAGGAAGAGATTTGGGCATCGCTCGGGCGCGCGCATGTTTTGTCCCTCGGCGAGGACCACGGAGGAGCGTCCTGGATCATCGAGCCAAAAACGCACACAACACAACACACACACACAACACAACACAACACAACACAACACAACACAACACAACACAACACAACACAACACAACACAACACAACACACAAAAAAAACACGAACGGCACCGAGGCATGCACGAGAAATGGACGTCCGAGCGACGGCAAGAGATGCCGATGCCGCTGGCCCTTCCCTCGTCGCCACGGCTGTGGATTCGCCTCGAGCTCTCATGGCCATAGCGCACCGCCCCCTGGGTGATGTCTATGGCCGGGGGCGGACAGAACCCCCAACAGTGACACGTCGATTAGTGAATTGTCCGTTTTCGGTTCTCGAGAGGGCGCCGCGGCCGCTAATTTCCAGGCCTGCGCCCGCCCGGTTTGGGCCTCAGGTCGTTTTCACTAGACCACGTTTTACTACAGGGAGGTCTGTCCATCCCCGATATGGGCCGGTCTCGTATGCTTCCCCAAGATGCGGCGGCGGAAGGCATCCCAGATCCTCGATGCTCGGGGAGGGGATTCAAGGGCGGCCAGGAGTGAAGTCGGGCATGGCCCTCTGCAGGAGGAACATTCAAAGCTAGTAAGAGAAAATAGCGCGGGCACTAAGTTTCGTCTACTTGTGATGGTTTTTGAATATGTTGACTTATTTTTTTCCTCCAACATCCGCCTGTAGTCACTAAGTCAAAACAGATGCCCAATCCCAAAAACGCGAGGGCCAAGACAAAATGCAGGCTCCTCGAGACTTCGGGGAGGGAGATTTTGGGGTAGGGTTTTTTCCAGGGCGACGACGACGAACGCAAAACATACCCCGAAATCTGTGGCCGATCTTCGAATCCTCGGGGAAGCCGCGATTTTGGGATTGGGGATGTGTTTTTCCGTGGTCAGATTTTGAATATGTTGACCCATTTTTTCCTCCAGCATCCGCCTGTAGGGGGACATGCCCGACCGAAAGCCAGGACCAACCCTCGACCTTCCAGGACGGAGGGCCCTCGCTCCTCGCGGCGAGGGCCCCGGCCCTCGGGGTGGGGACTGTCGAGCCTCGAGCAGGGGCTTTCCTCGATCCTCGAGGCTGGGTTCCTTGAAGCAGGACCCTGGGCCCTCGATCCTCACTCGAGGCATGCCTCGATCCTCGCGGAGGGGGCCTCGAGGCAGAAGCCTGGGCCCTCGAGCCTCGGGCAGGGGCTCCTCGGACCTCGGGTGGAGGGGGCCCTCGAGTCAGAGGCCTTGAGCCCCGATCCTCCAGGGCCCAGGGAGGGAAGCCCGTGGCGGCCAGGTGTCGGGCGGTTGCTCGCGGCAGCAGGTGGACAGCTTCATGGAGCTCGTCCAGCGGCAGTGGGAGCAGAAGGAGCGGCAGCGGCCGCCGCCGCTGAGATGCCAAGACTAGACTATAGGGCCCCCCGTCACCGCCCCCATCCTCCCCTTCCCTCCCTTCCCTCTCTCCCTTCCCTCTCGCCCTCGCAGTCTCTTCCTTTTTTGTTTCTCTTTCTGTCTTCATTTTTTGTTTGTTTCTCTCTCTCTCGCTCTCTTTCTCTCTATCTTTCCCCAGCTCTTCTCCTTCCCTCCATTATCCTTTCCTTCCCGCTGCCCTCTCCACAGGCAAACAATGTGAATACGAATTTTCCTCCTTCCCTGGAGTTGTCCGGAAGATCTCCCAGTCCCTCCGCGTGTCTTTTTCACACTGGATCTCAAAGGTTTAATGTTCTTGTCGTTTGTTGACAATCCGATGGCCTCGATGTTTCAAAATGGTGCTCCCGCTGTAGCGTGCGCCTCATTTCCGGATCAGTGCTCTCCTCCCGTCGTGCAGAATGGCGCTGTCGCCCCAGCGCGAGACACTGTGCTGGGCCCGAGTCTAGTTTCATTGTTGTCGCCCCCCTCACTTCCCCTCCTCCGCCTTCCCCTGGTTCTCCGGCTACTCCAGATTTCGTAATAAAAGGGAGGGGGTATGGACCCTCCAAGACAAGCCATTTCAGACCCCCCCCCCGTGGGAGAACCCTCCAAAACATCGTCCCCAGACCCCCCCAGGCCCTCCAAGATAGCCTGGAAGAGACCCCCCCCGAACGGAGACCCCCTCCCTTTATTACGAAATCTGGAGTACTCTCGCTCCTTCCGCTCCAGTTCCTGCTGCTGCTGGTCGTATCGTCCCAGCGCGGACCACGTTTCCGAATCCCGGTCTCTCTCTCGTCGCTGTCGCCCCTCTCGTTTCCCCTCCTCCGCCTCTCCCTGGCCCTCTTTCCGCTCTGCAGGCTCCTTCAGGACGGCCCACGGTAGCGACAGCTGGCACTGTGTAAGAGCCGCGGCTAAAGTTAACGCGCACCAGGACGAAGAGCAAGTTCGGCCTGAACATGTGTTTTCCTTTCAAATTAACCAGAGATGTGATCAGTTTGCCAAGTCGGCCCTCCAGATGCACCCGTCTTTCGACCCGTCGCCGGTGCTTGCGCTCAAAGAAATGCAGGAAGACGCCGCTAGCATTCTGAAGTTCATTCCTAGGATGCTTGAGGCTTGGCCAAAGCACCCTAGGACTGAGAGAACATGCTAGTCCGATCAGTTTAGGACCCAGATCCAGCTAGCACATGACTGGCAGCGAGCTGAGCACGTTGCGTGGAGATGTGCTGCTTGTTTCACTTTCAGCCACTCTGATGAAGCCGTCTCTCGACGGCGTAATGAATCATGCGCTCCTTTTTCGGGCGAGTTTCGCGAGCGCTGGATTAAGGTGCGCTCCTCCCACGCCCTGTGTGCTGGCACCTGTGATGACGGCCTGTTGGCTTTCTGTGCCAGCTGCTGCAATCACACCACTTTTGTTTTCAGAGGCCTTCTGGAGGAAGGCAAAAGAGTGGATCCAGATATATGGCCCGCAAGAGGCTGCTCGGTGGTCAGCATGCGTCGACGGGAAGCCGTTTCAGGACATCGAGCATTTCCAGGCATTCCAGCGACATCAGCAGGCTTGCGCCTCCAGCTGTAGAGGCTGAAGGCCAATGGGTTCGCCGACCTCAGAGCGGCGCACCTTCTGCCCATGAGTGAAGTCCTCCTTCCGCTTCAGCTCCTTGTTTTGTTGCTGCTGCTGTTGCTGGTCGTCCCCGTCCTTTTCCTCCCGCTCATCCCCGCGCTCGCTCGCCACCTCCTCCTCCTCCTGCCCCTCCTCCTGTGCACGCGGCTCCCCGGCTTCCGACTGCGCATAACACGATATGGTCTTTCTGTGGGGCTTGCAGGTCGGCTATGACACGCGTCCGCGGATATAGAAAAACAAAGCCATGGGACGGAATGGGAAGGAAGGGTCGGATGTCAGATGAGGAGCGAGCGCACCTAGCTTGCCCTCCTCCGCCTCCCATCCCTTGTCCTTCCCCTTCCCTCACCCGCTCCCCCTCCCCATCCCGTCTCCTGGAGGAGGAGAAGGAGGAGGAGGAGGAGGAGGAGGAAAAAAAGGACGAGGAGGAGGAGGAGGAGGAGGAGGAGGAGGTCGAGGAGGAGGATCGGAAGGAGGCAGGAGGTGGAGGTTTCGGCACGGCCTTCCAGAGGATTCTCAGGGAGCCCCACGCCTTCGGGTATACTCTCCGCGTGGCGCGCTCCAGAAAAGGCTTCGACTTTGGCGCACAATCGCCCTCGGCGGAAGACGGAGGAGAGCGGCAGAAGTAAAACGGCGACGGCTCCGCCGGCGGAAGGTCGGCGGAGGGCGGCGGGGGCAAAAGTGAGATGTCCATACGTATTCCCAGGCATCCTGCGGTGCTGGGTCCTCGTTTTGAAAGGGACAGCGCCTCGTGTCCTCCTCTCCTCGCCATCTCTCTCTCTCCTCTCCTCCTCCTCCTCCCCCTCAGCCTTCCCTCCCTCCTCCCATCGTTGTGGCGCCGTCCGCATGGGTCCGCGCCGCCAGTGTCAGTGCACTTCTTCTTGGCCCCATGGGGAGCTCCAACTTCGGCCCCGCTGGCTGCGGCCGCATCCGCCCCCGCCACCTATTTCGGCGCAGCCCTCGCACGCTTTTTGGCCCAGAAGGGAGCTCCACCTGATGCGGCCGCATGCGTACGCGCCACGATTTCGGCACAGCCCTCACAGGTGTCGTGGCCTTATAGGGAACTCCACCGAAGGGCCCACTGGCTGCGGCCGCATGCATGGCAGCCACCCATTTCGGCACACCGCTGACACGTTTCGTGGCCCCACGGGTGGTTCCACTGAAAGTCCCAGAGGCGACGTTGGCATGCGTTCCCCCCCCCCCACGTGGAGTTGATAAAACCGTGTGTGCGTACAACTTCGTTTTGCTGCGTTGCATCGCCGTCACTAGCATCATCATCATCGGCATCAGTTGACAAAGTCGTGTGCGCTTGTACATGCGTGTTTTCATACTATCACAAAGTGTGTTCTCATATCATCGCTGTCGCGACCCAAGCATCCCGAGAGATGTGCGATCTGGTGGCAAACAATCCGTGCGTCGAATCCATCAACATGGCGACTGCGACGGCGATCGTGCGATGATGGCGGTACCCGATAGCAGGAAGGTGATTGAGCCTCAAACCAGGTACGGAAGAGAGTACCCGAGTTGAGAACTTAACTTGATATATTCCGTATGGAACAACACACATATGATGATGCTGACGAGTATGTGTTTCAAGATGCTGCTGATGACGATGGTGATGACGAGTATGTGTTTCAAGATCCTGCAGATGGCGATGATGATGACGAGTATGTGTGTTAAGCTGCTGGTGATGACGATGATGATGACGAGTATGTTTTCAAAATGCTGCTGATGAAGATGGTGATGACAAGTACGTGTTTCAATATGATGCTGATGATGGTGGTGATGACGAGTATGTGTTTCAAGATGCTGCCCTTTCCTGTCATGCCCCCGCCCTATCCTCGGAGATGGCGGTTTCGACATAACCCTGGGATCCCCAAGATCATCCCCTGTCAGGGGCAGGTCGCGAGTACCAGAAATGAGAGTTACGAATCTTCTGGTATGCGTTGGGGGCAATCCATTATCACAATGGGCCTCACAGGGCATCATCGGGAAACACAGTCCACCAGACTAAGGGAATAACCCCCTGGGTCTAAGCACCCATAGCGGGTTCCATGAGTCCATGAGTCCTCCTCTACTTCCTCCTCTTCCTCCTCCTCCTCCCCCGCCTCCACCTCCGTCTCTTCCTCCTCATCCCTCTTACTTCCAGTGGGTGAGCGCCGAAGCGCGTTCCAGAGGGACACCTTAAGCCTTAATCCCTCGATTCTCCGGCCTCCGGAGGCCCGAAACGAACATGAGCGAATTACCGTATTAGTTGTTTTGCAGCTGATAACAACAAAAATCCTTATGTGATAAACTACACATAGAATATGTTGGCAGGTTATAACAATGTTGATAATGATTATGCTTCGCAAGGGATTCCGAAGGTCATTGCGACGATAAGCACGTCTTTCAAGATGCTGCTGTTAACGACGGTGGTAACACGCATTCCTTTGAAGGTGATGGCGATGACGATGGCGGGGACGAGTATGTGTTACAAGACGCTGCTGATGACGATGGTGATGACGAGTATGTGCTTCAAGATGCTGCTGATGACGATGATGGTGACGAGTATGTGTTTCAAGATGCTGCTGATGACGATGGTGATGACAAGTACGTGTTTCAAGATGTTGCTGATGACGATGGTGGTGACGATTATGTGAACCAAGATGCTGCTGATGACGGTGGTGATGACAAGCATTTGTTTCAAGATGCTGCTGATGACGATGGTGATGACGAGCATGTGTTTCAAGATGCTGCTGATGACGATGGTGATGACGAGCATGTGTTTCAAGATGCTGCTGATGACGATGGTGATGACGAGCATTTGTTTCAAGATGCTGCTGATGACGATGGTGATGACGAGCATGTTTTTCAATATGCTGCTGATGACGAGGGTGATGACGAGCATGTGTTTCAAGATGCTGCTGATGACAATGGTGATGACGAGCATGTGTTTCAAGATGCTGCTGATGACGATGGTGATGACGAGCATGTGTTTCAAGATGCTGCTGATGACGATGGTGATGATGACGAGTATGTGTTTCAAGATGCTGCTGATGGCGATGATGATGATGACGAGCATCTGTTTCAATATGTTGCTGACTATGATGATGATGACGAGCATGTGTTTCAAGATGTTGCTGATGATGGTGATGACGAGCATGTTTTCCAATGCGATGCTGATGACGATGGTGATGACGAGCATGTGTTTCAAGATGCTGCTGATGACGATGGCGTTGACGAGTATGTGTTTCAAGATGCTGTTGATGACGATGGTGCTGACCAGCATGTGTTTCAAGATGCTGCTGATGACGATGGTGATGACGAGCATTTGTTTCAAGATGCTGCTGATGACGATGATG